GCTTTTCCTAAGATATAACATGTATCACATCTCTCCTGCTGTAATACACTTGGTTTTATTAAACCAGTGAAGGAAAAGCACAAGCGCTGTGAAGATTTTGTCAGGTGCCCAGCTTGGAAGAGGAAACCAGTGTTGTGCAATGAAGTGTAATGCTTGCAATGTTTTTGTGAGGCTCAACTCAATAAACTGCCTATTTAGCGCGTGTAAAAAATGTTCCAAAGCTCATTTTGTTGTGGCGCATTACCAGTATGTATTTAACGCCTAGTAAAGCTGCGGAAAAGCAAACGAGCAAAATGAAAGTACACGTCAAACACAAGCCAAGAAGAATAAAAGTTGTATTACCTGTCTCATCCAATTCTTTGCGCCTTTTTTGTTTTCTTGGCTGTGTAGGTGACTGCGCGACCATCTGTCTCTTTCCCGCCTCAGCTCTAGTTCAAGGTGGTTCCTAGAACATCGGGGCGGAATTGTGAATACAGGCTCTGGCTTTGTAACACTCAACATCGAGAGCTAATGAACTGGTTAGCCCGCTCTTCATGCTAAAGCAATCAAACCCCAACTCAAGAGCTGAAAACTGCCTCTTTGAATAAAAAAAAAAAAGTTGTCTCGCAGCGTGTTAAGCCATATGTCAGGATGGAAAATCTAAACGTTCCTCATCTAATTCTAGCACAGTTTTGTGGGAAATAAGCCTCTTGATTAAGTCTGCAAGTCCTTAAAAACCACTTTGTTTTTCACCTAGCACAGAACTGTTGATCAGCGCCCTGTTCAAAAAGACGTTCTTCAGCACATCAGCTGCTGCGGGACAGGCTCTGAAACCAAAGCCAACATCCTTGACCATTCCTCAAAGCCATCCACGCGGGACGGATGGACTGCTCCTCCCCGAGAGCCGCGGCAATTCTTCTGACGCCTCACCTGAACGCGGGCCGTGGGCCTCGCGGAGCAACCGAGGGCTCCTCGGCAGGAGCGCTCTGCAGCCTGCTCTGCGACCGGCGCTGGCCGAGCAACGGGGTACGAGCAGGTCAGAACCTGGGCTTGAAGAGGAGAGGCGAGCCCAGCGGGCCGAAAACGGGGTGCGTGTGCTGTTTTATGGACCGCAGTCCACTCCCTGGTCTAGCCTAACCTGTGACGAAGGGACGGCGCGTGCTCCTTCAAGACTGCTCAGCAGCTCTAAACCTAGCTGTGGAGCGCAGAGCCTTTACTCGGGGCCACCAGAAAGCTCGACGCCTGCAGCCTGCCCGCGGACAACAGCGACAAAGCTCTCGGAGCACACGGGCCATCGGGGTCTGAAGCGCCAGAAACCCCATTTTCTGAAATCATTACAAGTAGAAATACGGTAGGTGCCGTAGGGAACGACCCCTGCGCCGAAGTCAAAGCCTAGAAACTGAGTATCTGCTGGTAAAAGCAGTGGCAAGACTCAAACTACAGAATGTTCAGAATCCTCGTTGCTATTAAAACCTACATTATCCACTATTACCCTCGTTAGCCTCCATATGGCTCCAACAGTTTTTTAAGTAACTCGCTATGACTACAGCGTCATTAATTACATAGCCTAACCGAAGTGACTAAAGCAGGTGGAGACTTAGATCCAGAAATGAATCCTCTCCCGTGATGACATTTAAAAGCAAACCGAGGGAATTTTTGTTTATAACTTGATTTAAAAACGCCACCACAAACATAAAAAGCCCGGTTTCCCCTTAAAGGAATATAATTCAAGCAAGCCTACCCACCAGCCACTGCAGCACCCTCCAGTAACTCGCTGCTTCCGAAACTCAGTTAAATCAAGCAGTACAGCCTCTCGGTAAAGGAGGCTCAATCATTTTCATACTGTCATCTTGATTTAGTTTGAGCGTGGAAGGAATCGGAAGAAGTCCAACTCACGCAAAAATAGACCAATTTGCAAACGTCCTCCCCAGGTAGCTACGCCAAGTTGAAGTGACTCAGCGTAAGGTGCATATGTGGAGAGATGCATTGCCCATTTATACCCAAGAACACCGCTAAGCTCACCCATGCGCACCCGGGACCTCGTACGAATTTCTGGTAAAAGCCATTTGCTGGCTTTGTGGGCACCCTCGGCAACTTTTTGAAAAAGGAAACAAAAAGCTACGCCAGGAGGAGAGGAGGGGACAAAAGAAAAATGCCTCCAGCGATGCTTCCACACAATTCATTGCAGTGACCTTGCAACAAACAGAAGATGCATCATGGGTGCAGAAGGAGAGATGCTCTTCTGTTTTAAGGTAAGAGGATTTCTCTGTTTTCCTGATCCTGGTAAACTGATGACATTGCAGGAGAAAATACGATAGCTCTCACCAAGTTCTCTACATTTGGTTTCCAACCTTCTGGAAAAAGCCAAATTACGCCATGACAGCGGGAAGTCTGATGCAACGCTAGGCTTTGGAGAGGTCTACGTTGCCGCCAGCGAGACCTGACCGCGCTTTGAAGCGCACATCCAGCTAACTCATTCCCTAGAGCAGCCTAACCCGCAACGCGACCTCGGCGCGCACTGAGGATCTACCCAGCGTCTCAAACAGGTTTTGCAGCTTGGGGTAATCTCCGTCCTGTATCTCTAGTGCCGCAGGTTTTCAGAAGAGATGGTTATCGGCAGATGCCCAACGGATCTAACCGCAGCGCGGAAAGCCCCCACAAACGTTTCAGTGTTCAGAAAAAATATCCTGACATTGCATTTCCACCCAAGAGATGTTCTGCAACCTGCTTCTGATATTCCACCGCCACGTAAGGTTTGTACTTCCGCTGGCGGTTTCTGCTGACCGTGTAAGCTCTTTTGCGTTTCCTTCCAATCTGATTCTTCAAGTTGTAACTTTAAAGACACGCGTGTTAAAAGGCTTGCCATCTTGCAAAGCATTTCACCTCCCCAGAGTTAATGCCCGCCTGGCGTCTAGAATGCCACTGTCTCCCTCCGCCTCCAACCCCAACCTCCTTTTGCGATCGCCCTGCCTGCTTTCCTACTAGACACCGTAAGAACAGCCCAGAAAATAGATTAGAAAAGGATCTCTTCACCGCTGCCTGGAGAGCTCTTCCACTTCTAGCTGGAGGCTGTTGATTTTGTCCCCAAACTCCTGCTTGAAGAGACGGTTGTCCTGCTGGGCCAACTGACGGTCCTTCTCTGCCTGTCGCAATCTGGATTTGAGCCACATGAACTTGTGATAAAAAACAAAAGCCATGGTGGGGAGGAAGACCGAGTTTAACCAACAAATAAAAAACCCAGTGAAAAGGTAAAGCCAAAAAAAAAGGAATGGTAAAAGCAATGGAAAGGAAGAAAATATTTTAAAGAAAAGCAAAATGTAGGTGAACCAGGCAGAAGCTCTGATTTTCAATAGTTTTTATTCTATTACTACAGTTTACAGCCATTAGATGAAAAACATAAAACATCACTTTTATCCAGATTCAAAGCAAACCTCAAGTACACAGAATTTTAAGTCAAATTTGATTTTAATGTACGTTACATTTCAGCTTTACACATGTAACTGGAACTTGCAACATAGGTTAGCTACTATATTGAGAATTAGTGCATTTTCCTGGTCTCTTCCACGGATCGACACATTGGCTCAAGCGCCCAGGCATTAGCGCACCAAAGCGTTTCCACTTTGGGCCTGACATCAGAAATGGCCAGATCCTTAATTCTGTCTTATTTTAGCGTTACTGGGAGAGCAAACACCACCAGCCCAATCCCCTACTCCTACGGAAGAAATCTGGGGAGGGGCAGGGGAGTTAACTGCTCCAACTAGCTATTTGGACACCTTGATGAAAGCTTCCACCTTTCTCTTACTATTTTTCTCCAGGTACTTAAATTGAGCTTCTAGTAAAAGGTTAAGTTTATACTTTCAAGCACGCGACTTGGGCATCGCTTAGAGATTTAAAACAGGTCTCCAAGTCTCCTTGGGTGCGGGAGTCCATTAAACAAGCCAAGCGGTGGTGCACGCTCACGTACAGGAGGACTAGGCTGAGCCTCGCAGATTTTTGAAAGGTACCTAGTGAGAATCAATAGGTGATCTTGCCCCAGTTGCTTTTCAGTCACATTTGCCACCCACGGCCCCAAGGAGCACTACCCCACAGGACAAAGGGAGAACTGGCACCGAAGAATTTCTACAGGCATCTCACCAGAGCAAAAACCCCTTATTCAACACAGAAAACCCCCAAACGTGATCTTCTTGAAAGGAAAAAAAAAAAATCTCTAGGAGCACTTATAACCTAAAGCCTGTGACAGGCCAGCACGGTGAACTTCTGCGGCCACAGGGAAGAGGACATTAGTTTCTAATAGTCCAAGCTACAGTTACTTAAAGTTTTGCACTGGGGTGTTAAATTGGCAATTATTTTTCCTATTGAGAGCTGTTTCCAAGCTTTAGCTGTTCTTTCATTAGCAAATTCCATTTGTATCGAGCAACAGAATGAAAGAAGTGTAATAGTAAAAGGCAACTCTTCCTTTTAAACCACTAAACTACTCAGACAAGGAATGGTCAAGTACCAAATTACCATTTCTACTCCCCACCACTGCACATCTTGTTCCTTTTTTTTTTTAATTATTTTTGTTTCTTTTAGAGTATAAAGATCAGATTATTTTCCGTACGATGTGTAGCTTCCCTTTCTAGGAAGGGGAGCACCTCTCCTCAGCTTCCTTCAGTCGGGAAGAACCGCAACGTATGTCTAGAGGGATTCATGGCAGAGGTAGAAGGCAATGCAAAGAAAAGGAGGTTTCCACTGAACTTACCACTCTATCATGTTACTCTAAGACACCTAGCCACTAATTCTGGACACATGAAGTTTAAAGGAATAAGGATAAGTCCCCACCCTCCCACCAAGTCCCTAAGGCGAAATCGTTGCAAGCAGTCTCGGTTACAAGAGGGCTGGTCTTCACGGTGACGAGCTACGGAGCAGCGCCCGTTTGTCTCGGACTTGGGGCTGAACCCGCAGAACAGAAGTGGATGGGTAACAGCTTGGGGTACGCACACAACTACTTTCAACAACTTCCAGGGATGCATTTTTTTCGTCTACTTCACAAAAAGGGTAACACAGAAAACTAGTTGACTTTCCAGAGCTGGCCAATCTGATATTGGCTTGACCCACGCACCTAGTATCCATAAATGCTGAAGACTTGTGCTGCTGTATACGGTATGCATCACCGGGATGTACAGAGCCACATATCTCCCGTTCCTTATGCTTTTCTGGTGTGTTTATTGGCCAACTCATTGGTACTTTAACACAGTTTAAATGGCAAAGTTAGGGATTTTTATACCCGACTCTAAATCTCTGAAGAAAAACTCACTGATTTTAAAAATTCAGCAAATTCCAAATCAACTTTAGGTGACAATTAACATTTTAACAGTTGCTTTTAGCAATTCTCAAGTTCTCCCCTCATAAATGAGTTCTGATGTCAGAGCTGTGAGGTGACCAGACATAAAAATGTCTAATGATGCTTCTGGATCAGTTTGTTTGCTGCACTATTTAAGGTTTTTGCCTGTTTCACCAAATCCTTTTCACTGTATAAGTAAGTCAGAATGAGGAGGATGAGAAAATGGAAAAGTAAGAACAGCAAGAGAAAGAGAGCAAATCAATTAGCTGAGTAGATATCATAAAACATTTCAAAATACAAATTTTCTACAAACAAAATGATCTTTTTTATAAAGAACCATTTACAATATAAACCCTAAAATAGGAGCGTTAATTTAGCGCAATGCCCTACTCATTAAATAAGTCCCAGACAATACACGTTGCTGAAAGCTATGCTTTCCCCTGATTTTCTCGGAGCTAGCAGGACAGTCAGGGCAATTCGCAGACACTGAAGTTCTGAACCTTTGGCCAAAGCCCCGCAAGGCCTGGCTTTGCGAGCAAGACAAAGGGGAAAAAAGGAGCACTGCTCCTTATCAAATCAATCCGACTGCGATGCTGAGGCCCTCCTAATTTCGTGAGGGTTAGTAACATGAGAGCAACACGGTCATCAGGATGGAACTTGTCCCAGTCCAAATGGATATTTTACCTATGGGCTATCTTTATCAACTTCTAGCAGCAGCCTGGCTGCCCTCTCATCTTCCTCCATTTACTTTCACATGAGGATTTTCTTCATGCTCACCTTCCTCAGAAAGTACGAGGCTGTTCATGAAGAGAATGCTTCAGCTGGGGGTATTTTTTTCAAAACGGTACCAGAGAGATCTGGAATAACCAGGCACCTCTGAGCCTGGCCTCTGCTGCACGCTTGTCCTTCCTGCTCCCACTGTAATACTGTCACTAACAGGCAAGAACTTCTCTGAGTTCATGTTTCTATTTTTTATCAGTGCTACTAGAGATAGTGATTGACTTGTAATGACTGGATACCATACAACAGTGCAGCTGATGTAGATAAACAAAGCTGCTATGTTAATTACTGGTTTAGTAGAATATTCTTTTCTAATGGAAGCTCTCCTGAGCATGCAAAGCATTTCTCCTAACAGCAGCTCAGAAAATTAGCAGCAGCTCAGCAGAGCACTCGGACTCTCTCCTGGTCCATTCAGGGTCAGTGGGACACTACCACTAGAATACACACATGATTTTATAATTGTAAAAGTTTCTTTTTTTTACCTTTGTTCAAGCTGTTTGATGGTGGCAGCCATCTGATTTGTTTTTTCTTCCAAACGGCTGTTTAATTCACTCTTCTGTTTCACTCCCATGTCCGAACTCTGGAAAAAGGAGCATCATAGGTTTTTTGTAAGTAGCAGTAAAACCAAAACGAACCACGATAAATCATGTGGCACATGAAACGAAAGGGACGGAAGCCAAAGAGGCAGGAGAAGGTGCTCAGAAAGCAAATGCCAGGTCCATATCGTGAGGACAAATGTCTTGGCACAGAGGTGCAGGCTACGTCTGGACCCTGCAAAAGGGCAACGCCATAATCAATGAAGCTTCCCCTATAATCCCTATTAATGCAGTACCTGCTAATATCATTTGACTGTTTTGCACAGAACAATTGACTCAAGGAGACCAGAAGCTCCTCTTTCCTGTTCTAAAGTTTATTTTAGGATTTCTTTCTGAGCATTGTGTGCTGCTCTTTGTCTTAAGAGTCTGCTTTTGTTATGACACAGTAACGTACCTAATTACACCATATACCTTCAAATACTAGATCGTACTGGAAGAGAAGCTACCATGGCTCAGTTTTTATACCACAAAGACACAGAAGATGCTTTCCCCAGTCACACACATTCCTGGATCGTCATGAGTCTTTCTTCAGCAGAAGCTGCATTTTCCTTTAACCTCCACCACATATATTTTTTCAAGCCCCGCAGCTTTCTTGCAGCAAGACAGAAGTATGCTATACGGCCTGTAACCCTCCCACACCTAGCACCTTTTAGATTCATAGGGGGGAAAAAAGAACAAGAGCTATCGCTTTTATCTGGAATTCACTGCGTCCGATTTAATTATTTCCCTACCTGCAGCTTGAAAGACAGTTCATGCTTTAGGGCCCTGAGATCATCCAGTTGCTGTCTGAGCGCCACCAGCGCATCTTGCTTCTCGCAAACATCTTTCTCCAGCATCTTCATGGCTAGCTCCATCTCCTGTCGCATCCCGATCTGCACCTCCAGCTCTTTCTCCACATCCTGGAACATACGGATCAGTCAGCGTTACCAGCCAGCTTTCATAGAATCATAGAATCATAGAATCGTTTAGGTTGGAAAAGACCTTTAAGATCATCCAGTCCAACCATTAACCCACACTACCAAGTCTACTCTAAGCCAATCAAGGGTAGACTAGACTGAACCATGTCCCCAAGTGCCACATCTACCTGTTTTTTAAATGCTTCCAGGGATGGGGACTCCCCCACCTCTCTGGGCAGCCTGTTCCAATTCTTGACCACCCTTTCCGTGAAGAAATTTTTCCTAATTTCCAACCTAAACCTCCCCTGGCGCAGCTTGAGCCCATTTCCTCTCGTCCTATCGCTAACTACGTGGGAGAAGAGACCAACACCCACCTCACTACACCCTCCTTTCAGGTAGTTGTAGAGAGCGATAAGGTCTCCCCTCAGCCTCCTCTTCTCCTCACCACGCACAAGATAACCACCCTCGACCGGTGCTCCTGCCAATGCAGTCGCTACCTAGAAGCATGCTGCATTGCCACAGCGTCACAGTTATAGATCTGTCCCATCAAAGACGACTAAGGACAAGAAATCCACATTTTCGGTCCAATATTCAAGCAATGCAAACAGCATTACTAACAAAGAGTCAGAAAGGACTATACAGGCCCATCTTTCTGAGGGAGGGGACTAGAGAAAAGCTGGCAGACTTTTTATTTCCTAAAATCATTCTTCTTGGGCATTTTTCTCCCCACCAGCTGAACACGCTATATTGAATAACAGTTCAGACAGCAGCAATATGGTTGGGCTTGATGATCCTAAAGGTCTTTTCCAACCTAAATGATTCTATTAATATCCTTGTCTGCAAGGGAGATGTGTCAGACCTTGAAATGCAAGTGTCTTGCTCATTTTGAGAAGCAGACCTCGAACTGATCAATAGAGCCACAAAATTAACATCGCTTCTGACGAGACTGTCTCAGGTCAGGCTGAAGCAGGCTGGCAGGAATGAAAAAACCCCCCTAGCCAACCATTTTCAAAAGAGAGTGTCTGACACGGAGTTATTATGTGAAAAAGCCATTTGTAGCGAGCTCCAAGCTCACACAGTCCTTACCAGCCGCAGCTGAGTCTCCTCCTTTAACTGTTTTCGTGCCTCAGTCAGTGCATGTCCATCAGCAGTTCTGTCTTTAGTGACCTAAGTTAATGAAGACAGCCAATTAGCTTGTCATTATATGCTACTAACCCTCACATTTGTCGATTATTTGCTCTTCCCACCACTTTGAACACGATTTCTGCAACTATCAAAACTCAGAGCTCCATTCAGTTAATGCAGCATGCAGCTTCCACGTGAAATTACTCTATTTCCGTTTCTCCAAGGTGCTCAGTGCACTTCAACGGATGTGAAATAAATGGACAGACTGCCTGTTTTCAGAACCTTCACAATATACTAAGTACGGTTATACAACCTCAGAAAAAGATCTTATGGGTTTTAAAACGAAAACCAGATTCTGCCATAGTTACTAGTACTTTCAGTAAATCAACAACAAAAAAAAATAGTATAGATCCTGCTCCTAGATTTCCAAAAAGGGTAGCATTTCAGGCCAAAAAAGCAGAACTCCTATGTCCAAATTTTTCTGCCACCCCCTCAGTAAATCATCCTTCCTCCTGGCCCTTCGGACACCTCCGCCCAGCAAGCCAGGAACACGCTGTGCTAGCCCTCGGCTCTGCGCACGCTCACGGTTTCATCAGCTACGGCCAGGCAGGATTTACTGTGGCCAGGGTCCATCTGTCACCCTCTGCGGAGGACCCACCTGGAATCACTTTTATCTAGTGCAGTTTTTGTGTGAGATACATAAGGAAATACACCTACTTCTCAGTCCAATTTGGGCTGGGACTGCCCAAAAGGTTCAGTAATCGTTCACACACACCAACCTTACGATTGGACTCTAGGATGTAAGAACTTTCTTCTTTAACCCGTTCCATCTCTTCTTGCAGTGTAATAATCCTGTTGTTTGCAACCGCAAGCTGTGAACAAAGAGCAATGGTAACATATCAAAAATATACTTGACCATTTTTTTCCCCTCTCTAGACACATTTTCTGTACTCATTTTTTTACAAAGAGAAAAAAAAACCCAATATTTGGAGGTGGCAAAAGACAACTCGGCCTCTACCATGGCGAAAGACTATCTGGGAAAGCATCAATTAGTGCCAGTGTGATGGATTTCAAATATCAGCTAAACCAGAGACTTCCCAACCTATTTCGGTTCCTGTCTTTCAGTGAAGTTACTGACTTCTTCAGGTCTCTCTACCTGCTAGACTCTGCGTAACACGTGGCTAGCGCAACTCAACAGAAATCCTCACTCCGTTCCCCTTCCCTTGCCAAAGATATCAAAAAGGAAAAACGTGAAGGCACGGCAGCCAAGTTTTGTTGACTTCTAGCAACTGAGATGCATTACCAGAGAAGAAATACTCGCGTGGCTTTGCTAAAGCTTCAGTAGGTTTGGGCACACTGCTAGGTAGAGCATCTGAGATGTAAGATGCTCAAGGATTTGGGCAGGAGAGGCACAATGAGGACCTCATCAGAAGAGGAAGATTTGGCTGGAAACGAAGGATCATTAGCACACATCACCCTTACGAGACGGGGCATCTGCCTCAGAGGAATTCCCAATGAAGACATCACCGCAGACTAAAAGATTACTTTGAGCGTGTGGTCAAAGGCCAAAACAACTTCAGAAAACTCCTTCCGGCTTTGTAAATTGTAACTTACATAAGCCTTGCGCACAAGAAAAGCTCAGTGACATTCCAAGAGACCAGCAACCTTAAGTGACAAACCCAAAGAGAAATTACCCTGATAAAACTGCGAGTCTTTGGTACAGCTCAAGCCAAATACACAAACTGATGTGACATGTGACGCAGTTCATTAACTACACCCCGCAAACAGCCCTGGTTGGCACAGCGTGTTCCAGCGTCACTTCAATTCTTGCTCTGAACAGCATGCAGACTTCACTAAGATACAAGCAGGTAAATTATTGAAAATAAATAAAATACTTCAGTCAACATTGCAATTAATCTCACAGGTACCATGCCTAATGGGCACGGCACTCATACTCTGCGGGTAATAAATCAAGAGCCACTTATTATAGTAGCGCTGAGAAAGGTAGCCTCTACTGCAAATTTAAAAAAAAAATACTTTAATTGTAAAAAACATTTCTTACTCCTTAATTGCAAGAGCGGATACACTAATTTCCATCACTACAGCTTCTCATCACTTGGAATGCATCCATTAGAGTAGATGTTCAATAACCAGACACACAAACCTCCTTTAGCGAGGGCAAACAAGCAAAAAAGAATTTCTATTTCATATTTCTACTGCAAGAGCACTGAGACAGCCCAATCAAAATCATTCTGCTGAGCTAAGTGACAAGCGGGCAGAGATACTGTAAAACCGCTAGGATGAATCCTACTGTCACCCATTTGTCAGGGAACTGACCCCAAAAGATTTTATTACATTTATGCCACTACTAATGAAGCTGCAAGACCAGTTTTAAAACACAGGTTACACCTATGACTCACGCACCAACCATTTTTCACGCTCTGACTGAACAACGTTTTATCCATAATGATAATTTTTCCTTTATTTCTTGCAAATTGTGACAGGCTAGAGGGAACGTTATTGAAACATTTCAATTACTATCTTTACACCGTAGCAAACTTCTGCACCTGTCAAAATAATATAATAATAACAGACATCTAAAAAATTCTTTGGCATGTCTGGACATCTGGTAAACCTACATCAGCTGTACAGCATCCGAAACCACACCCACCGTGCAATTTATTCTAAGACATATTCAAAATATCAGGAAGCACTCAAAGACTTCAGAGGGATGAAGTGTATTCAGCAGCTTTTGGTTTTTAACATAAACATTTGGTTGTTTTTCCACCTCATGCTTAGTAGCAACAGCCAGTGTAATTCAGGTTACAGGCAGGTCAGTTATTCCAGTTCCATCGTTAAACACTCATCATTACCTACACCAGAAATCTGAAATTAACTCCTCCCTTACCTTCTGAATGCCCAATTCCAAAACCTACACCAGAAATCTGAAATTAACTCCTCCCTTACCTTTTGAATGCCCGATTCCAAAAGGCCAAAACATCCGATGATTTTCTATTACACTTACCTCCTCGGTCAGTTTAGTGTTGGATTTTTCTAAGGCATCCACCTTGGCCTGTAGGTTGTTTACTGTAGCGCTGTTGGAGAGAAAAAAGAACCCTACAGTAATTCCTTCTTTTTTAAAAGCCATTTTTCTATTTTGCTCGACTACATAATAAAGAAGAAATGAATCATGTCTTACCTTAAATGTCTATTGAGTTCTTCTACATAGTTCTTCTGGTCCAAAATAGCAGTTATCTGACCATCTCTGGGAAAAAGAAATATCATTCAGCTCAGCCGCCTGGATTCAAAGAACTAAGAGACGCCATTAAAGGTGTAAGAGGAAATGTGGCAGCATCGCCTGCATATCCAGCGTCCCGATACCCTAGGTCCCAATGAGTCTACGTGGTGCTTATGAAATAGCGAAGCCAAGGTGCAGTCTATGCCTTTATAATCACTCACTGTCCCCTGACTGCCAAGAAGCTGAAACCGCTCCATTTGCCTGGACGACGTTCAGGCATTTTGTGACACACAAAACAGAATGATTAAGGCAGACGACATTTCAAAGAGTACAGGAGTATTTCAAAGAAAAAAACCTGGTTTCGCACCACATTTATATTGGCCAGGAGTCATCTCACCAAAACCCATTCAAGGAAAACTGTCAACAAATGCATGTTTTGCATGCACTTCCAGCAGGAAATCTTAACTAAAGAAAAGGATGTTCTAAAAATGAAACTACAGATAAAATAAATGCAATCAAAACACCTGATCCTGAGGGATAATTATTAAATATATACCTGAATTCAAACTAGCAGAACTTCCTTAGAAGGAAGAAGTACTCTTGAAGAACCTCAAAAAACCGCAACACCTGACCCGTTTGTCAGTGTGCCCACACTGTAGTTTTCACCTGCTTGCTCTGAATATTGCACAGCTCCATTTGTGTATGCTGGTACAAGTACCTCAGGTTATTATTACAGTTACGACCTTTTCCAATTGGAGAATTTTTTTTTCTAAGGATATTAGGGTGCCAAAAATAAACTACTATCCTGCTAGCCATACAACTGGTGAAGGCTGCTAAGCTACTTACCTGAAAGGCTTTAAAGAATGGCAGACCTAACTCAGCAGAGGATCACTTGTAAAATATTTTTATCTTCAATCGCTAGCTAAGGAAGAACACACAGAATTTCTGGGAGACTTTCCTTCTCCCCTGCTCCCTCCCAATAATTCCAGTATCTTTTATATATATATTATGGTTTATTACAGAAGAACAATTCAGTCTAAGTAGCTTTTTAATTAAAAATGTAACAGCTTGCAAGGCAACCTGGAATTCTTGAATAACAAGTTACCAAGAGATAAGCAGCAGGACAATTGCGCTTGTACCTACCCTTCGCTGCCTTTCGTGCTGTTCCCGTCTTTCAAATACATTGAGAAATCAATAACTCCAACCTAGAACAGAAGAGCATGCATTTTACATTAAACACTTTTTCTAAGACTAAACACTGTCCATAGGCATGAAAGTTTAGAGTCATTCAGTTAGGACATCAGTACATGTTGTATTACAGCAAGGATTCATTATACCAGTAATCTATTCAAAATTAATGAAAACGTGGCGTATTTCAAGCAAAAATGCACGAGGATAAGCAGCAAGCTGGCAAGCGAGTCTTAGGACATAAGGACAAATCATTACCATCACCCTATCGGTATATACACTGCTTATGCAAGCTGGAACATAACTGCATCCAGGCTCATTTTCTTTTGTTCAACAGCTACAATGATCTCATCACACAGCATGAGTGAATTAACAGTTCTGCCCATCTCTCCCCTCCTTTTGGCTAAGTCAAAAAACAGGTAGATGTGGCACTTCGGGACATGGTTTAGTCTAGTCTACCCTTGACTGGCTTAGAGTAGACTTGGTATGTAGGTTAATGGTTGGACTGGATGATCTTAAAGGTCTTTTCCAACCTAAACAATTCTATGATTCTATGATTCTAAGTCCTTCCCCGTTTTCGCCTCCTTTTTCATTTACTACACTTCACTCCACAGCGACCTGCACACAGACCACAGCAAAGCATAACAGCAAGAGAAAACCAAAATCCTGAGTCTGACCTCAGCGCCGCCAGCTAACCAAACACCACAATCGTAGTAACAAGCTTACATCAGTCTTCTGCTACGTGTAGTAACAAGCTTGTATCTCAGTTGATCCAAGTCCTCTACAAAGGAGAATTCTTCCAATTTAAGTGAGCAGAGAAAAAAACATTAACTGAACACCCAGTACCTGTGAGTCCAGGTCCTCTCCTTTCATGCAGAAGTTTGCGTCGATGACATTCAAACCTACTAGGAGGCCAGCAATGATCGCACCTTCTTCTTCCATCATCAGTGCATTAGGCTCATAAAATTCACTGCAGGATGCACAGCAAGAGAAGACAAGTGTTGCATCTTTAAGAATCAACTAGAAAGATGCCAACTAGCACGGGATCCCTGCTAGTTCATAGGACAATATAATGCAATCTCAGCCCTAACAAAAACCCAGGCAGCGGCACATAGTAGACGCAGAAACTTACTCCTACGCGCTATCAACGTACTCCTGCTCTGCCTGAACCAATCTCTCTTAGCACAGGGAGTCTTTAGGTGAGCCAAAGACCCAATACGTAGGTGACCTGGCCCCTCAGCTGTTGAAAGGTGATGGAAAGTACGCATGATTCTTGAGTAGTGGTACAGCACACTGAAGATTTAAGACTGGGGCTTAATATCAGAGTTTTTTAAGTACCATACTTCTACTACTCTATTACATACTACTATTAACACAAGCCACTGCCCCATTTTCCAGTGGACGACACCACATTCACCTTTCTAACCCCAAGTCAGCTATGGCTTTACATGGACAGCCAACAAAAACCTGCTTGTTTGAGCAAAGAAACACCAGCGTATTTATTCAATCCTACCGCATTACACAGACATAGGAGTTCAAATCCACAGACTTTCAATTAAGCTACAAAATTATTGCTGGTTTATGAGCGGGAAGCAGAAATAGAGAGAAGTGAAATGACTTGTTCCAAGCCAGATGGTAATGAGGTGGCAAGGTCAGAAATAAATCCAGGGCCAAGATTTTGCAGACAGGGAATGCTGTATCCCCTCTGTACAAATATTTCACCCAAATAATCTCTTAGGAACCAAAACTTGTGTTTATTCTAATGGATATTTGAGACAAAGCAGAGAAATAAGAGCTTCTGAATTAAGAAAAAATGCTAAGCATTTTTAATTCCTTTACAGGAAGCTCTGCATTTCACAAGTATTACCTTTTCTCAAAAAAAGTACATGCATACTTTACCATTTGGGTGTAAAAGATCGTAAAGTTCTTACAAGAGGGCAGAAGATAACCTAACCTAATCCGAGAGCGAGCTCGGCGCTCACCTGAGAAGATCCTTTCTGTTAATCAAGGCTTTCATGTATTCTGAAAGTTTCTTCTGCATTAGAGCCAGGCGAAGCCAAGCTCTTCCTCTACCCACAGGTGTCCTGCAAAGGCCAGAAACAAAACAGTTAGAGATACTGCAATGCACACTCACAAACAGCTTTAATAATCCCATTCTATCTGAAGTTTCTGCATCTCAAAGATAGAGCTGGCACTGATGAAAACAGGGAAATACAAGGTATTTAAGTGCAAATAGTTATGGACAAGTTTATCCAAGCAATCACTGCTTCTCTCACAACTAATTATCTATTTTTTGTTATACTAAAAATATTTCCCTGACTTTACCCCTGATGGATGTGACTACATAGACAGAGATCAGCTGCTTCAACACCTCACCTTCTAATTCAAAATCAGTTTTGCATACGGCAAGTCAGAAGAACACGTGTATACTTCAGCTCAGCACAGATGCCCGAGCACCACTCTTTCAGGTAGGTGTTAAGTTGGGTGAGACTCCACAAAGACAACCGGAAACACAAATTCAGTACTGTTCAACTATTTTGCTCACGAACACACTCACAGAATGCAGTGGGTTATAGTCACAGTCCTTCCCCCGCTGTTTCTCCTGGCAATCTGAAGCACGCAGCTTTACAAATACGGCAACCGATACGCTGCATCACAGCCCTGGCTCATCTACCCTGGCACGCTGGCCAGGAGCCAGGGCCAGATGCTCCCAAGGAAGGTGTAAATCCCCCGTGTTGAGCAGTATTCGGATTAAAAGGAAATTTCTTGTCCATCTCCAGCAGTCAGTCAGCTGTCTTATAGCAAACAGCACGTGGGGCACTTTATTTTCTAACCTTAACTAGTATACGCAGCAACTGTCCACGGAAGCCAACTTCATTACTCCGCACTCTTGACCTCACTAATACATGACATGACGTTTCCCAAGAGTTACTATGAACTCAAGGCCAAGGTTTAGAAACTTATTCTAAAACTGTTCTTTATTTCGATTTATTTAACGTTTCCATATTCTTTTACAACAGGAAAAGGTAACAGGAGCTCTGGCACAACACTGTTGGCACTCCAGGCTGGTCCTGTAAGCTGTTCCAGGAGAAGTCCTGCACAGATCTCCAGTAAAAAGCACTTGTCCATATGTACACCGCTAAATACTAACACGAAAGAAACTGTTATTGAATCTATTCACCTCTTCTTTCAGCAAAGAAGATTTAATCCTTAGTCCTGCTACTCATACAAAAGCTTCCTTATACCCTTTTTTCTGTTCTCCAGGCTGAAAGCTTCTTACAGTTTCTTTTTAGTGTGGAAAAAGCAAACCTGAATGTGTGGTCTGAAATAACTATGACATTTTTAAAAGCAATATATGCTTAAAGTGTTTTTTTTCCTCCCCTCTTTAACATAAGCTAGTATCTTCTCCAACTTTGTGACTGAGATTCCCTTTTACACAAACTTCACAAGTTTACCTGAATTTATTTAAAAGAAAAACTACCTCTATCAGCATCAAAACTATTTAACCTGTAACCACCTTCCTTCCAATTCCCTTCCTCTTCAGTCTGACTTCAGAGAGTCAGTAAAGGCTGTTCCCATTCCTGAGACACGTCGTCACACGTTCAGTGCTAGCAATAAATGCACCGTTGTCCATAACACCCCATGTACTTAACACGGAAAGAATATATCCTATCCTCTCCTTCTGCAGTTCCCTGATTAAGAATAAAAGAGAGTAATGATCCATTTTTATCAGCCAAAGGGGGCAGATGTATTCCTGAAGGTGATGTTTGCCCCTCCTTCTCTTCTTCACCATCCTTCTTAAAATAAAAAAACATACGTGCTTGCGCAGTAGGAGACTGTACTTACTTCAGCCCTGGGAGATCCTTAACACTTGCTGTAATTTCTGCTGCTTCAGGAACAAGTTTTTCTACTAGTTCTAGAGGTCCCCAAAATGACTTATTTTGCCCAAGAAAAGTCTTTTTGGCTAGAAAAGAAAAAGATATAAAATGAGCCTGTTAGACCCGTGCTGACTAAATACATTCTCAAACATGGTCAGAGTGCATGAACGGTAGACAAAAACTGCCAGAAAGATTCTTCTGGGACTGCTGCTGGGCAAGTACAACAGATGACTTTTTATGGCCAAGTGTGGCAATTACCGGTATCATTCAAATAAGGTAACAGGAGCTTGAGACCGACGCCAGAAAATATTCCCTACACCCCCAACATGCCAAAACAACAACATCTGGTGATAACCAGCAACTTCGATTCAGTGCTAGAGGTCAAAATTTCTACTAGGATGCTGTCACTGTCCCTAAGTTACACTTGTGTGTGCATGGGAATTTCTTCTCACTGACCATCACACTACAAAGAAATGGACCGCACCACTTTGAACCTGCTCTTTCTCCGTAGCTGCCAGGGGCTTCTCTGCACATCCCTTCCTCCCTCAGAAAAGCTTTCTAGTGAGCTCTAGGCACTAAAGCTGGAAATTATTTTTCTTATTCCATAGTTCTTACTGCTAATTTCACAGCAGCAGTGAGAAGACCCGAAAACTCTGTTAACTTCAAACTGACGACACCGGCAAATGGACAAAGGAGCTGAAGAATAGGAACACTTCTCCCTTGCACAATGTTACTTGAACCAGCATAGGAATCACTTCTTCCACACATAATGCTGAACACGACTACTAAAGAAGCACCGCAGGATGTACGTATGGGTGCCGAGAGGGCATTTAATATCCTCTGCTTTTCCTCTCAAGCTACTATTGTGCAAGGGCGGCACATCAAGAGAAGTACTCTGGTACTTGGCAATTTTAGTTGTGACTCCGTATTACATCATTAAGTATATGCTCTGCTTGCTATTTTAGAAAGCAGCTTACAAGACATTAGCTGCACAAAGCCAAAATCCTCAGTTTTGACAGAATTGCTGAGATAGGACCTCCGTGTTGCAGTTCCTCTTCCAGCAAGAGGACCGCTGCAACCCTAAAGCACGAGGAAGTGCAGAAAAAAAAGGGAGTCATGAGGTTGCTGAGGAGCTAATTTTATCACTGATCACTTAGTTAACACTGGAGTCATCTGAAAAGCTGTTTTAAAACCAGCAAGCACCTGCAACAACTGTGAACTTTTCACCTGCAGTGTTATACCTTCAGGAGATATTTTTTCTTCCCCTTTCTGTGGCCTGTCAAGCCACCTGTGACCACAGCAGTGGCCCTGCTCACCCTCTCTTTAGTCTACTGTAGATTACAAAACCAGATTTTTACAAGAAGATTGCTCTTTATCGCTCCTACACTATGACAAACAGCCCGGGAGGACTCTCCTCAAGCGAGGTTACCTTTCAAGCCGTGCTTAAGGCAATGTTCCATCACAACGAAGAACTGCTGAAGAGGTGCATAGTCGGAGTCCAGCGTCCTGCCCAGATTGAGCGCCGATTCAATCAACCCCTTGATACTCAGTTTCGCCATGTTCATCAGGTTCATGCGTTCATTAGCCATGAGATAATTAGGATCTATTAAAAAAGGAAAAAAACATACTGTTGAGTAACAAAAGCTATTTTTCACACAGTAAGATATCCTGTATACGCCTCTTCTGTCCCTCAGCTTTGAAGCTGTTTTCAGGGGCAGTGACAGTTTCATGCGACGCACTCTCTTCAGGCCTTTTGTTGAGAAAAATCAAAACCTAACTAGCATTTTATGGCCGAAGCCACAATGACACAGGAATACGTCATATATCACATTAAGGGTGCCTCAGTATTTTAAATAACCACAAAACCTTTAAATTTTCAAATTTTGAAGACAGGTATTATATTGTGCTTTACATCTCGACAATGTGTTACTGAATGCTACAGCCGTCACTTGCTCCAACTCAAATCCCCAGCTACATCCAGCAGCTACAAACTGGTAAGAGTTCTCCACTCGTGATTTGTTCTTCCATCTAAAGCCAACCAGGAATCCGCTCGCACTTAATCCATCAATGCGTCTTTCCACCCAGGTCTTGCATCTTTACTTCTCATGACTTAGAAAAACCCCAACCAACCAACCAATCAAACAAACAAAAAAAACCCCCCAAAAAAACCCCAAAACTTAGATGTAACATGGAGCTAACTCCCAATCATCTCTCCATTTTATCAACACTACTGTTTTTTACCACTGACAGTAGGGAGCTGATCTTCATGGCTCCTCTGACAGCTCACTCTAA